AAGTAGGTGGAGACATCATCCAGGCATGGGTATGGCTCCGTCAGGATCCAATACAACTGGGTCTACAAATATTAAAGACACGTCCACGAGGTTCCTCCCCAGAAATAGACTCAGTCGATCCATCGATTAGCTGTGTCTCTGTATCTCTCCTTGCTACTTAATCCCTTAATTTCTAAAATCTTTCCAAAATTCTCTAATTGGCTTTCTCTCAAATTTGTGTTTCGATTGGCTTTACTTTTTCGCTCCTTTAAGGCATTGCAGCCTCTAGGAGTCTTTTGCCTCTCTTTAACTTGCTGCTTCAGCAACGGAGTGCGTTAGCGGCCAGCCTACGAGGTTTTCCCTTAGGCTCCTTTCATTGTCTCCCGCTGGTGCCACGCTGCCTGAAAGGTCAATCTCTGAGCCGTGCTGCCAGAGGAGCCAATTGCTGCAGCCACACTGCTGAATGAGACGATCACTGCAGCCCTGCCGCTGGAAAAGCCGCTTCTAATTGCGGCAGCCACAAGAAGCACTTTGCACACCGTGCCTCTCCTTGCCGCCCCAGCAGCATCCTTCGTATGGCTTCAATTCTGCTCCTGATGCTGGAGCATTTGGCTGGCAGCAAATTGTTTGGCAATAAGCCGCTTTGTTGGCTCGCTACCTCAGCCCTTCCTCAGGGCCCTGTCTACCCGGGCGGCAGTTGGATTTTGGCGTTAAATCTGGCTGCCATTTTGTTTAGGCGGGAAGCCTACAACGACGCTGTGGAACGCTTCGGTAACCATGAGTAATGGCAACCAATGAGACCACGGTTTCACAGGGGGAGGATTCATCAATTCCAGTTGTCCCTTCTATTCCCCTCTGAGCCTAGAAGCAAAAAGAGAGCTTATAACTCCAAGCCTTCTGCTGCCAAGCCTTCTAAGGCCCCTAGGCCTACTCCTCCTCAAGAGGCCCAAAATCTGACTACTCCGAGTGCAGTTCCTGACAAGGCCTCTGACCCGGCTCCATGAAAGGCCACTTCCAAATCCAATCATTGTTCTACTCCTATCCCTGTTCCTAGGGTCTCTCCGCCATAAAATTTCAATCCCATGGAGGATCTCTCCACTGATACCGATGGGGATATCTCTCCCCTGGCTTCTCCTTTAAACCCAGAGGATGGAATTGGATTTTAAGGGGATTCTGACTCTGAATGGTAGTGTTACCCCGGACATAGATGTGGGTTCTCCTGTCCCCAGAGATATGGCTGACATCATAGCAGCTGCCATTGAGCAGGGCATTGCTGCAGGCCTTCAACAGCGGCCTCTTGCTGCTACCACTCCTTATTGCTCCACTTCTAACAAATCAAAGAGGGGGCATTCTAACTAGGCTCAAGAGACCACTTCTGCAAGCGCTTGTCAGCCTTCCACTGGGGACCCCGAGGAACAGGCCGCACATGATTCTGACCTGTCAGAAGATGTGGACTTGACTCCTGCTCCTTCTGCCTTATTGGGCCTGTTCAAGCCTGCCTTGTTTCGTTCCCTCTTGTTTAAGGCCAAAAAGGTCTCTGGTATTCCAGCCTCAAAACCATCCTCCTCTGCAGAGGTCGACAAATCTGACACCACAGATCCCTTCTTTTTATGTCCACCGGTCGAAAAGAATATAGTTCCTTCCCCAAAACTATTCCTGGAAGTAATTCAAAATCAGTGGGTTTCTCTGGGGTCAGGACCCCTCCCTTCGACTCTGGACAAACAGTTGTACAATGTCAGCCCAGAGCTCTCTAAACTTTTGGAGGTTCCTTCTATTGATCTTCCCGTAGTTTCTCTGTCATCTCCCAACACCAATGCTCCAGAGGACGCTCTCCATCCCGAGGAAAAACGCTTTGAACAATCACTGGTAAAGGGGCATCAGTCCGCCGCATGGGCGGGTCAGAGCCGCCTCTTCTGCTTCCTTTTTCAATAGGGCGGCTCTTCATTGGCTGAAGCAGATGCAGGACAGGATCCCTCCTGGTGATTCCCACGCTCAACAGGACATCAACAAGCTCAAAGCGGCGATGGAGTACACGGCGGATGCCTTTCTGGATGCGGCTTGTTTCTCTTCCAGGTCGATGGCTTCTACAATCACCACGAGGCGTCTTCTTTGGTTGAAGCAGTGGCAGGTGGAGGCCAGAGCAAAGTGGCGTTTGGCGTCTTCCCCTTTCTCACCCGGCCTGCTCTTTGGTCCGCCTTTGGAACCTCTCTTGGTAGAGTCCAAGGACAAGCGCAAGGTGCTTCCTTCTGCAAACCGCAAGACTGATCCTAAACCACCTTCTTTCTTCTGCAGGTCGTCCTTTTGTGGGACGGACGGGGGATTTGCCTACCCCCATTCTCAGCGCCAGGCAAGACAGGTCATCATTTCCAGGACAGGTCCAACCGGAACTCCCAGTGTTTCTCCTATAGAAAGCCCTTCAAGGGCAGCTCAAACTATACCTTTTGAAAGCAGAAGTGAAATCTCTGAAAACCTCCCTATTGGGGGCCTCCTGTCAGCCTTCGCTGATCGCTAGGATGACATCTCCAGTGACTCCTGGATCAGGTGTACTGTCCGTTTTGGCCTGGCCCTGGAATTTCTCTCCAGCATTCTTTCATACCAAGTCCTGTCTCCAGAGACAGTTCCAAAAAACATCTGGTTGAACTAGCTATAGGTCATCTCCTCCAAATTCAGGCCATTGAGGAGGTGCCCCTTGAGCAACAGGGACGGGGGTTTTATTCCCGTCTCTTCATAGTGCCTAAGTCTTCGGGGGATTGGAGAGCAATTCTCGACCTCAAATTTCTAAACAAATTTATAGTCTACCGGAGGTTTAAAATGCACTCTCTGCTGTCCATTCTGGAGAGCATTCGGCCCAATGACCTTCTCTCTTCCATTGACCTCACAGAGGCATACCTCCATATCCCTATTCTTCCAGATCACAGGAAATCTCCTTTTTTCTTATGAAGGGAATCATTTCCAATACCGAGGGCTCCCATTTGGCTTATCCTCAGCCCCAAGGGTTTTTACTAAGATCCTTACTGCTTTGGCCACCCATTTCAGATCTCTGCCGGTTAGAATTCTCTGTTATCTTGATGATATTTTGTTACTATCCAGCTCGTCACATCAGGCCCACTGGGACGTCCAGCTCACCTTTCAGGCCCTAGAGGACCACGGCTTTCTGGTCAACTTGAAGAAGAGTCATCTGCAGGCCACGACTCGTCTCACAGATCTGGGGGCAGTGAGAGACACTTCTCTAGAACAGGTATTCTTATCTCCAGGCAGGTGAACATTCGCAACCTGGTCTCATCCATCCGTGGCCAACAGACAGTTCCTCTCATTCAACTGTCTCAACTTCTGTGAAAGATGGTGTCCCTTTTCCACATTGTTCCGTGTGGCAGATTCCACAGTCGAGAGCTACAAAGACTGCTGCTCCTGTACCAGAAGGCGGACTGCAGTTGCTCAACACACAGAATTTGCCTGATCCCCAAGGTAAAACGCTCCCTGCACTGGTGGCTCTCCCCTGCTGTGGAACAGGGATCTGTATTTCGCGGACCCCCCCATGCATCATTCTAACGACGGACGCAATTCTGCAAGGCTGGGGAGCTCACATTCTGTCGCACACGGCCCAAGGTCTTTAGTCACGCTCTGACCAGAGGAACAGTATCAACTGGTTGGAGCTAAGACCGTGTTTCTCACCCTGCTTCGGTTCGAATCTCTTGTGGCCAATGCGCACGTGCTCGTCCTTACGGACAGCAACACCACCAAGACACACATATACCGGCAGGGAGGGACAAAATTCCGGCATCTAATGACTCTGTCTTTCCAACTGATATCTTGGGTGGAGACCCACCTGTTGTCTCTCTGGGCCGAGCACATATTGGGGGGCCAAAACACTCAGGCAGATGACTTCAGCGGCATTCACATCGATCCAGCAGAGTGGAGCTTACATCGTTGCATCTTCGAACAACTGACGGTCAGGTTCAGACTTCCGGTTCTCAACCTCTTTGCCTCCTAGGACAACACTCAGCTACCAAGGTACTTTGCATGCTATGCAACTCCAGGGGTGGAGGGCGTGGATGCTCTGAGGAGTGAGTGGCCTCCGGGCCTTCTGTATGCCTTTCCTCCCACCCCTCTCATTCAGCGAGTGGTGCGAAAACTGCTGGTGGAAAGGGCAGAACTAATCTTGATTAGACTTCTGCTCAGCCCCACTCTCATGAACCTCTTATTCATTGTTTCTTGAGGGGTGCCACAAACATCAAGCCGCCTACAATACACAGGTTCCCGACCTGGGATGTCTCCAAGGTCCTCGAATCCTTAACTCAGTCTCCATTTGAGCCTTTGCATTCTGTGTCT